ATCCACATCTCCAACTTAACCTGTCTAAAAGTAATCTAATGTTCCTTCAAAACTTGTCCCTGCTATGGTCTTCTCCATCTCAGACAGAAGACAGTAGTAGTACTGGTACTGGTAGAAAGCCAGTTGCTCATCAAAAGCCTTGGAGCCATCCTTGGCTCCTTCTTGTCCCATTATTCACCATTCAATCCATGTCAACCATAAGATGCAAACACATGTCCTCATCTCTGCCACTACCAACCTGTCTAAGCTTCCACATCACTTATCCAGATTATAAGTAACTCCTTTATGAACCCCCCTGTTTCTGCCTGGCTTCTCCCTACCCCACCCTCATCGATTCTCAACACACAGACCAAGGACTTCCTTTGAAATGTAAGTTAGACCATGTCATTCCTCTGTCCAAAAATCTGCAAATGGCTCTCATTTTACTCAGAGTGAAAGTCCAAGTCCTTATTTTGTCTGACAGGGCCTGCATTTCACTGTACCCTTCCCCACCCTGCCATCATCCTTCTAGCTTTATTTCTAAGGATTTTTCTGCTCAGTCTACTCTCTGCGATATACTTTAAAGGGACAGGCAGATATGCTTCTGTTTGGGGACCTTTACCCTTGCTACTCTAGATGTGTGGACCACAATTTGCCCAGTTATTTACATAACACATTCCCTTGTATCATTAGGATCTTTACTCAAATAACAACTTATTTCTCCTCAAGCACCCTCTCCAAAATCTCAACTCTCCAAGACTTCCTGTATCTTTCCCTATTTTTTCTCTATATCTTATATATTCTATATTTTACTGATTGATTTGTTTATTTTTCATCTGTCTCATGAGACATGGAAGCTACTTGGGGGTAGAGATTATTTCTTTTTGTTCATTGTAGAGGTTTTCCCAAACCCTAGAATCCATATTCAATAAATAGTTTTGAAAGAATGAAACTTGAAGTGATGTTTGTATTGAACAGATATTCAATGGATACCTTTAAATGAATCTCTGTGCCACGTCACCTGCGTACTTCCTTCAAGCACAGGCCTTTGAGATGTGGGTACAATGCTGATCCAATCTCACAGACAAACATGTGCATGAAAATTAGAACAGTTTGGTCAATTACACAAACACCTTGTGGTATGTGTGGAAACATTGTTCTGGTGACTGGTGGAGTCCTTCACAAGACCAGAACCTTCCCTTCGGCCCATCAGGAATGCTATAAACCACAGTGAAGCCTTCAAATATTTGCAGAATTCTCCAGCAGTGTTTTAAGGAAAGAGCTGAGGACTAGGACATCCAAGAACCTTCTATAACTATTCCTTTGGTGGGGGTGACTGCTTTCCAGACCAAAGGAAAAAGCTTATCAGATAAAAATAACACTCTATATCTCACAAGAACTTATGCACATCACTTTTACAACTTTCAGATAACCCAGAAGAATAAACTTTCTCTAAAAAAAAAAATAAAAAAATCTTAACCTTTTCCCCCCACCGAGTATTCCTTACAAGTTCTCAACATATTTTAAAAAATATTTTAATCCATCTTTGTAATTCTTCTGTATATTACCACTTTGCCTTAGTCCCTAAGCAGCTGATACTGTCTACCATGTTTAGAAGTGTTCGGTTCTCTTTTTTTCCTCTTAATTTTTTTCGGAAAACCTAAAGCTAAACTTAGTTGTACCTACATGGATGTTCTGTCACTGCCAAGGTATGGACTTGGGTAGCCATGAACTTGGATTAAATGTCTCGTCAATAGTTTTAATGTTCCTTGAATCCACCACGTTGTGCCTCCTCTGAAGCCCTTAGCTTGTCACTCAGCACCTGAGATCTGGTACAGACCCACCTTTCTAGCTTCAATCCCACTGGCCCTATATGTACCCACAACAAATACTCTCTCTCTCAAGTACACTTCAGATAGCATTGAATGAGTTTATTTAAATTCTTCTTTTGCTAGAAACTCTTCCTACCTCTATCTGTCCAAAGCCCAGGTCAAATACAATTTCTTCCTTACAGCCATCCTGGTGACAACCTACATAGTTTCCATGAATATCTCTTTACTCAGAAAAACCAACAACATTGGCTTTCTTCTTCTTGTAGCATTTATTATTTTTTATCCTGTATTGCGGTTATTTGTGTAAGCCCCTTTGGGGAAGTGCCTTTGCTCTTCATCCCTAAATCCCCCAGCTTAGAATGATGCACACTATAAGTGATCAAGAAATGATTATCTTATTAGTGAATGGATTACAGAAAATGTATTATTGGGCTCGTGTCCAGAATTTCAGCAATTTGTTCTGTATTCTTTGGGAATGTGGAGCATTGTGTTGTATTCTATGTGCAATCACACACCATAATTTCTTTTCTTATTTTTGTGACATTGATCTATTGAGTAGAGAGTATTACCCTGTGCTTTTCATTTTTTCTCTTGTGGGCACCCAGAGATTGTACTGCAACCGTGTCAGTAGCTGAATACTTAAGCTTCCTAATCACTGAGCTTTGACATTTGGTTTAATATCCTGGGTTGGTATCAGGGCCAATGGCATGTTCTTCTAAGTCATCATTTCTCTTCCTACCTCGCAAATAATAAGAGGTTAGGACTAAAGAATTAATTTCACCTCCTCCCTGGTGACATTGATCTGTGGCCTGGCCTATCACTGTGTGGAACTAGGTTTCCCGTGACACAGAATGATTTGAGCCCATGACAGATTAGAAGAGACCAGCACTGACAAATGAAAATACATGGTAGCCGAAATCAGGTCCCACAGACATGTGAATGACTGAGGAATGCATGGTCTGTCTACAAGAAGCACATGCTGCCCAGACCCACCTGATATGTTTTCCATGTGAATATTTGTACCCACTATAGCCAGATCTTCTGATCTTCCTTAAAAATGATATATCTGAACTTTTACAAGAAATTCCCTGGATGTTAGATACTTGCAACCGGTTCAATTTGGTTTACCACTGCACCACAAACAAAACAAATCTGAATGCCGGACTCACCTGTGGCCACTGTCTGCAGTCCCTGTATTAAAGGAACTCTAGACCTCAACCCTGCCATTGAACTCCATAATTCTGAATTCAAGATCAATCAGCATGACAACCAGTTAAACTGGGTGACACCTCTCGTATCTAAAAGATACAAAAATGTAGATTGGCTGAGCAAAATGAAGATGCTGCCACTGCTTGCACGTCTCCTAACCCTACATGTAAGAAGAAGTTCTGGAATTTGGTTGAAACAAATATTGCACAAGAACCAAGCTAATAAGGAAAGCGTCTTCTCTAGCAAACTCCCCTACTCTCTACAGGGTATAATATTTCCATCAAATGCTAAGAAAAGGCCAAAGTGCTATAACATGTTTCATTGAAAGGAATCTTAAAGGACATCTGGGTCCAATCCCCCAAATGACACAGCTCCTGCTTCTGCTTCCCAGCACTATTCACTATGCACCATGGGCAGTGAAAGAGTAGGAATGTGTGTTTGACTGACAGCTTTAATGATTGTTGGCCTTGTGGCCTTGTGCACATCATGTCATCTTTCTGGGCTTCAGTTTCTCCATTTTGAATACGGTAATTGATTAAGTGACTTCTTCAAGATGCTTACAGCCGGGCACTAAGGATATACAGAAGTCTGCCAAAGACGGTGTAACATGGCAACCCACTGCGTTGTGGTGGGCTCATGGGGATGAATATTAGCACTGTCATAACAAACTCAAACACACGCACATACACACACACACACACACACACACACACACTTGCACAAAATATTTCCTTCCACAACTAAGAATGATACAACCTTTTGAGCATGAAGGGAAAATGATAGCTAAAATTAGCATCTTAAAAAATAAACTACATAATCACTGAAGATGAGATTTTCTTAAAACTATAGAACAATGAGATATAATGATAGCTGTCATAAGAGAGGAAATTGCAGGAGTCAATTTGAAAAGGATTTGGGGGTGTTCCCTCCCCCCTCATTGAGATCTGTTTTCCACATACCACAGGAAGATGGAGAAGCTAAATATTTCCCCAGGGCTTTTGTGAGCTGTGCCTCATAAGGCTCCTGCTGACATTAGGAGAGTGTCATCCAGCCCCAGATGCAAGCCTTCTCATACAGAGAGTGAGAGCATATTTCGGGCTCCACGGAGCCGTTTTCCCACATTTGCATATCACTTTTTGGTTTGCAAGGCCTCTTTATATACATATTCTCATTTATTCTCTAGAAGCAGCCCTATCTGATGGAGCCTATATAGCATTATAAGATCTGTCTCGGATGAGTTCAAAAATATCCCTCCCAACCTGCCTATAAGGAAATAACACCTTTTGTTTCTCATTGGACAGTGCAGGAAGCCCTTTCACTTTTCGTGGCTTTTTGAAATAAAGTATGACCTGCTGGGTCGTAAAAAAGAGGAAGAGAGGGACGCCTGGGTGGCTCAGTGGGTTAAAGCCTCTCTTCCTTCGACTCAGGTCATGATCCCAGCATCCTGGGATCGAGCCCCGTGTAGGACTCTCTGCTCAGTGGGGAGCCTGCTTCCCCCCCACCTCTGCCTGCCTCTCTGCCTGCTTGTGATCTTTGTCTGTAAAATAAATAAAATCTTAAAAAAAAAAAAAAAGAGGAAGAGAGAAGGAGGAATCAAATCTAATCTTGGCCTTAGCCTGCTGATCTTCCTAGAACAAATCACTTCCAATCACCAAGCCTCTGTTCACTAAGCCATTGAATAGAGAAAATTATACCTATCCTACTGCTTTTATAAGGCAGTTGAGATCAAAATCAATATATAGATAAGTATGTCAAGTAATTTTATAGGCTGAGGAATGCTGGTCTACAAACCTCATCAATCCCGGGCAGTAAGGACGAAGGGAGGACTTTCCTGTGGGTGGGGTGAGCTGCAAGCCTAGACGAACAGCCTGTCCATGGTGGAAGTGACCAGAAAGCCAGGCGAGGGGCTAGGAGCAATTGACACAGAGAGAGAGAGACCCCATCTCCTTGCAGAACCCGGGACAAGCCAGCTGGTCTTACCTGACAAGGCTGTGGCTGACCCTCAAGGCTCTTCTTTCTCTTCTTTGATGAGGGGGACAGAGCACAGAGAGTGGTTGGCTCAGCTGAAGCCCAACACAAGGGTGCCCTTGGGTTGTCACCCCCTGAGTCTGAACCCTACCTCACCGAGTGGACTGCAAGTTAGGAGCCCGGTCTCAAACAAAGGGTCCGATGAAAGGATTGAGGATGTTTACAGGGCGGAACTCCACCTGTCAGGGACAGGTTTGTGGGTGGGGCCTTTCTCATTCTAGTGGCACACCTCTCTCTCCTCCTCTTCTTCAAGAAGACCTGGATTTTCCTGTCAACTTCCTCTCTGACTGAAATCTTCTCATGAGGTGAGCAGGGGAAGCCTCCTGTCTTTTCCCACACGTCATCTGCAGGCTCCCAATTAGCTACAAGGAAGCTTAAGCCTGAAGCTTTCGTTCTATTGTTAGTATTCTCCTCTGAGGACTTGATTTATTGGCTATCTGGGATCCCGAGCATCATTTCCACTTTCCATCAGAGATATAGAGGACATGCAGAGCAGTCTGTCTCCGTGAGAAGACAGACCCACGTGCAACACCATCTCTGGTCAGTATTTCTTCTAGAGTGTTTGCCACATGGCATGGTTTTCTGTTCAAGTGTATGTCCCTCTCATTAGACTGTGAACCACTGTAGGGAGGTGACCACATCTTATTCTCCCATACATTCCCCACAATGTCCAGCATGTGGCAAGGACCAAATAAATACATACTGAATGAATGATGATCAAAGTTTAATGAGTCCTAATCTGCCATGGAAAGGCTTTGTAACCAATGGGAGAGAACCACCAGCTCCTGAGCTGATATTTTTGGTCATCTGTAAACTGGGGATATCATTCCACCTTCAGAGATATTACATTTGAAAGGATAAGCATAGGAAGTGAACCTAGGATAAGAGTTGACACAGTAACCACTGCTAGAAAATATAATTCCATCATAATTAATTGATCTTGAAACCCAAATAAGACTTTCCTACATAGAGAGTCAGTATATGAAGTATGAGCAGTAAAAAGAGATCACATGTCCTCCGGTCTTTTTACATGCCTCCATAATGTCTAGGACATAATCAATGAGTAGTTAAGTGAGTTATTCAATGAGTAATTAACTGAGCAACCCCCTTGGCCATTCTCAGTTCTCAGTGTAGACAAGGATAGAAAAATGAACTAGACACCGTGTCTGGCATGAAGACTCCAGAAAATAAAATATGTAGAAAGTGATGAGCACCTGAGCACCACAGATAGGATCAGAACCATTGCTGAGGGAAACCCTGAGGAGGGAGAATTCCAGGAAGGCTTCAAGAGGGAGGAGACAGCCTTAGCTCTGGGTTGGTAGGAAGAGTTGGCATTCGACAAGTACAGACGATGCAGTCAACTGTGAGATGGACTGTCCCCTCATGTAACTGATTTAAGCCTTCCATACTACCGACCCCAGGATGAAAAGAGGGCTTCACATAAGCAGTATCTAGGTCACTCGACTTCTACACCACAGAACTACAGGGCCATGAGACATGATTTCAAGACAAATATTATTTCCACTCAGCCATGGTATCTTTCTGGTACTTAGCCGGGGGCAAAGGGGAAAGTGGCTGAGAGGTGCAGGATCCCAGCCTGGGACCAAGTCATGCATCACTGTTTGAAACACGTTGTTTTAAAGGGCAAGAGATTCTGAAAAGACATCTATGTCCACGGGGCAGCTGAGGATCACCAGGCTTCCAGTGGCCACAAGATGCTTCTCCCAGCCTGCGCTGTGCTCCAGCCACCCTGCAGCCTGCAGTAATGGGAGGCAGCAACTCTATAGCCAGGGAGGAGGGCACTGCCATTGAAGATTGTCCCATAAAAATCCTAGGCTCTGGACCCTCTTTGCCACTCCCTGGAACTAACTGGCAAGTAGCTATGTTCTTCCCTGGCCTCAGGTGGCTCTTCTGTGCAAGGGGAATTCTAACACAGACCCCACACACCTGCCCAGGCTGGCGAGGGAGAGCATGAGATTCTGGAGGTGAAATGAACTTTGTTAATGCTAAGTTCTGCCGTGAATGTGCAGCACCATCACGATGGGACATATGATGACATGCGGGATTCACCTCGCCTCTGCTGGCTTCAGGGATAGCGAAGGCTGTGTGCAGGTGTCCTGGTGGCTGACAAATTCCACCACCAAGGAACCGAGAATCACAGAACCATTTTTACCAGAGAAGCACTTAGCCATCATTTCTTTTGGTACCTGGTCCCTTCTCTCTCTTCTGTGATGGCCTTTACAGTTCCCTCTTTACTTTAATCCTGCTGTCACTGGCAGAAAATGTAAGCTGTTGCTTATTTGGGTCAGGAAACATGGGTTTATTAGATCTCCCCTCCAGCCATTTTGCAGGGGGGACAGGGTGATCCTGATGACCCCTAGCTGCCCTCTCCCTGACTTCGGCAGGGTGGCTCCCTTACAGCCACACCCCGGGCAGCAGATGGGTGAGAGAAAGGACAGGTCAGCATGGATCCTCACTAGGTCTGAACCAGAACCCAGGGCTTCCTCCTCATGCTGAGAAGGACTGACACACAGGCATACACCCCGGAGGGTAAATGGGTTGTGTCTGTAGCAATCCCGCATCCCTGCTCCCCAGCCCTGCCTCCTCCCTAGGAGTCTTTTCATAAAGAGGAGCACGGGGATGATATGCAGACACTGAAAGACACTGCTGTCAGAGCCAACAGGAACCTGCAGGCAGGTTACCCTCTGAGGAATGTAGGCAACATGAATTTCCCTTTCTCTTGAGTCCCACAGCACACAGCAGGCTTCACTAGCATCACTCTCTACCGTGGTTATTCTTCTCCCCTGATCCTTATCTGTCTGCTCTCTTTACAAGGAAGGAGCCTTGTCTAAAACATCGTTTTTGGGACCTAGTACAGGACAAAGGTAATAGGGGTGCTCAAGAGATGTCGGACAGAGGGAAGAATGGATGGACAGACCGATAGATGGATGGATGGATAGATGGACAGACGGACAGACAAACACACAGGTGTATGAACTACTCTGCTCCCCTGTGTGGCCCAACAAGGCCCGGCCACTGGAGAAATGACAAGCAGGAGGAGAAGCACAACGCTCCCCTGTGATTTTGACAGGGGACTAAATTCAGCCCAAAGCATCTTTCTTCCTCTCTCTATTTACTCTGGACAATCTGTCCCTTATCAGATGAGCTCAAGGCTGGTTGGAAATATGCGTATTTTATTTGACAATATCTTCTTCTTCCAGTTTTGTTTTGCCGCACAGACATTTGTCTGTTTTGCTGTATGTTGTGTATCAGATAGGACTCAGACAAACTGCTCTGGCTTTCTCAACTGTTTTGTTTTCTCCATTCAGTTATCATTGATTGCATTTCCCTTCCTGCATCTCACTCTCATTCCCCAATTCCAATTTCACCCACAGTGAGAGAGAACAATTCCACGGATACCCAGCTCTATCAAGGGCTACAGAGGGCACCGACGTTACAAGGCCGGAGAACCGGTCCCCAGGCCGCACAACCTTCCATGGATCACCTTTCCCAGCTTCGCCCGCTTCTTTGCAAAATAAAGTCTGCTCTTGACTGCCACGGCATCTGCGTGGAAAAGCTTGAAACTCTCTGGCCACCAAGCCGCACTAAGGCTTGTGCCATTTTTCACATTCACTGCAACTGGGGAAGATTTTTCATCTTTAGCTTTGGTTCAAGGCAATGGTCTGGTGTTTGATGGACTAATGAAGCCCCCCCACCCAACTCTCGCCTCCAGATCCCCATCCTACTCCCTGATCCAACCCACCCAGGGTGGCTTCCTGGGCAAAGAGCCCACGCAAGAGCCCAGAGCCCTGTAGATAGAAAGCCCCATGCTGGGTTGTATTCAGCTGTCACCGTGTTAAAAATCGTAATTTTTGGACAAGGGGTCTGCGTTTTTACTTTGCCCTGAGGCTTGCAAACAGTGTGACCAGTCTTACAAACCCGGTCCCCCAAAGCAATATAGAAGGAAAACATCGGAAGAAGAGAACAACGGAGCAGCCTTGCCAGCCACTGATGGAGGCACGAAGGGCTCCCCACATGGCAGAGCCTGGCCATGGAACGCCCTTCACTGTAAATAGTTAACCAAAGAGAAGACAAGGTGGGAGAACATGAAACTTGCCACAGGCCCCACCCCTATCAAGCTTCCCCATCTGGGGTGGATTGGGGGCCTGACTCATGCCCAAGGTGTGGCTCGCCATTCCTGTCAGCACACTGAGCTCCTCCCTGCTCATGGAGCTCAGGAGGAAGTGTGGGTTGCCCTGGAGTGAATGTGGAAACCATCCAGTCACCACCTGACATCACAGAGCTAGACAGGGTTTCAGAGCAACCCTCACAGGCCACCCTTTATCAGGGAAAAAATCCGCTCCAGGTTTGAGAACAGACTGACCCACATATACACTGGGAGTCCATTTCCTGTGCTGCTCTCAGCATTAATTCCCTTTTGACTGACTTCTCTTTTCTATCTGTTTGGGATCCACAGGGACAGACCCTACTTGTCTGTCACACAAGTAACATAATCCCACCCCAGGTACAGTGACCAGCAGGTTCCACTGCTTAACATATAGATGTCAGATTAAATGGAGGGTGAGCCTGGTATTTTAAATCTGCAGTACAATGAAACTATTACCACTGGCTTTTCTCTCCTACCAAAGTTCTTCTAATAACCCAAGTCAGATCATATGTCTCAGTAGAGACGAAATCAAAGGAGTCAGGCAAAACTTGACCAAACTTAAACATGTAAATAAAGAGCCTATCATAAACAACATGCAAGTAAGACAAGGTTTTGAAACACGGAGACTCCAGCCCCAAGGGCACCTGGGGGGGCTCAGTCACTTAAGCCTCTGCCTTTGCCTCAGGTCATGATCCCAGGGTCCTGGGATCAAGTCCCACATCAGGCTCCCTGCTCAGTGGAGAGCCTACTTCTCCCTCTGCCACTTTCTATAGCACTCATGCTCTCTCTATCTCCCTCTCTCTCTCAAATAAATAAAGTATATTTAAAAAAAGAAGAAGAAGAGACATCGAGACTCCAAGGGAAGCCCGAAGGGCACTAGTTAAGATGAAGGGAATGACACACCTCTGTATGTACGGAGAGTCACTACTGAGGGCTGGCTCACTAATGTTCTGGTTGTACTTGGGCAAGCATACACTTCGGAAA